TGAAAAAAAACGCGGTGGTAAATGAAGTTTTAGTACAGGTATAGCACAACAACACTATGCTCTACACACATACAATTCGTTCCTGAAGGGCCCCAATCATTATAACACCTTCAATCATTCTGCAACTCGTGATGGAGGAGGGATTGCATGCTCTATAACAATACAAAATCGGATGATACATTGCCTTCTTTTATGTTTGCTTCGAATGATATATTCTAGACACAGTTCCGAAGTTGCTCAACATCACTACTTTTCAATGCGAATACGGAGCGATTCCAGTGCCGGATCCGACCCGATAGATCGTCGACCCAGATATCTCTTTAACCAAAAGCTGTAGCGAAGAAATAAAAGCGACCCATCAGCAAGCGCACACTTCCGCTTTCCAAAACTATCTTCCCTTTTCAGATCTTACAATATAAAAGATAATATCTGCTCGGAGTATGGGCCAACTCAGCGTTTAAAATTTGCCCCTCGACATTTACTCGACGTAAATTACAGACCGCTATCTTTCTGCCAGGATGAGCTTCCAAGAATTTCTCATGGGTGTGGCGAAACGCGAAATCAGCTCTATCCAAATCTACATCAAGCGCTTACAAATCGTTTTGAATATGGGAGGAATGCCAACGGCTTTTCAGCGAGGGGTTTAGAGTCTCGACGCTGGGTGTTTTTGAAATTTCCGGAAATCTGACCCGAGGTGACCCAATCGCCCCGCAGCTGCCGTATGAATCGCCTATTGAACACTTCGCTGTTTGACATTACTCGAGCAAGAATCAAATGAATCGCAACCGCGATTCTTTCAGGATTTCTGATGCTCTGAACGAAACCTCCGCCTTGAGGCCACACAAATGTGGAGTTTTTCTTCCTCGAGCGATTATTCAGTATGTACACAAAAAGTATGCAGCAGGTAGACGTGCCATAGAGACACATAAAGCGTCGCTTAGCATTAGTTGTGCAGAAATTTTTTGTTGATTTGTTGGCAGATTTAGTTTATTTGAGATTAATTTGCTCTGTTTAGAGGGGTCGTGCCATGGATCACGGATTCTAGGGGACCGGCGGTTGGTACCTCTCGACCACGTAGCCGACACGATTTCATGTCCGCGAGGGCAGTGGAGAAGGAAGGTATTATGTAAGTTGAGATGGAAAACCGGTATCACCAAAAGATCGAAAGTTGCAGATTGGTTGGGTCAGCTGTCAATTCTACTGCGCATTCATGATTTGGCAACGTCTTACTATAATAAAATCTCCCTTTTTTGCGTACTTTGACCTGAACGAGTTTAGTTGCTGCATAGGTGAAAGCGAGGCCATCGAAAGATCTTAAACTTACGCGCTTGTCGAGTAACCGAAGGGTTCCGTCGTGTGACGAGAGGAGGCAGTCTCGGTTACAAAGCACTAATTACTCTATTTAGTTCAACTAATTTCCTCCTTATATTAATTATCCTCCTTGTTCTTTGTTGTTTTCAGTAGGACACACACGTGAATCTTTTGGAATTTCGTGGGGTGGCTTTGTTATCTATGAAAACACAGCATCTTTACTTCATATGTATAGCGATTTCCTGTGATTTTTGTTGCGCGAAAAAAGCAGCTTCCAATTCTCTCATACCCTCTGTCTCCCCTCCTCAAAACTGATGAAAAAATTGGAAAATTGTGGAAATACGGCCATCTTTCTATAGTTTTTAATGTGAAGCAATTATTCTCTTGTCGGTACGGTGCCTGATGGCTCGCAGTCGCATTTCCATTCTAAGAATCTAACATATATCAAGCAAAGCCAGCACTAAAAAAACCTGCCCAGTCCATTCATTTAAGCAACTCCTTTCGCATTTTCTAAGTTAATGATGATACATTTATTATGAGAGCTTTCTAGCAGCACGCATATTGTTCAGTTTTTGCAGATTGTGCTGTGACAGGCTTTCAGCCAACCAAAGAACAGAGCAGTAAGGGGCGAGACGTGCGCTTCTTCAGTGCAAAACCTATGGCTTTCAAAGCCTTTCAGCAACAAAGGACGGCAGCGCATGTAGTATGCAGGTGAGAAAAAACCTTAGACGCCCCTGTTCGCATCACAATGGCTGCCATTGAATGCTCTGTGACATCCGCAATTTTCCTGATCACTACGCCTGGAATGCCTCGTAGACGAGTGTCAGACTTCTGCAAATCGCACGAAATCTTATTACTAGCGATTCGCGCCCGATTCGCTTAAGCGTCGCGTTCGCCGTGCGTTCCAGCCAACTGAGTAAATCCACTCGTGCGCGAACTGCACCACAGACGCTAACGAATTATCCAAAATTCCTGACACGGACCTTGCCCCATCTAGTTCGAACAGATGGAGAGCAAACTGATTAAAGGATCTGCACCTCCGGCTATCCAATATAGAGTCTCTTGACAGGGAGGGTAGTAAGCTGGACTTTGTTAGATTCCGGCGTGGCACACCTAATTTAAAAATTTCTTGTTGTATTAGATGCGAAGTGGCGTATAGGCAAGTGGCTCTGTTGTACCGCTCCTCTATCCTGGATCCCATCGAATCCGGCAGCATAGTGCCTCCAGTCCAAATCCCAATCCATGCACTCTCCGGTGCCGTCTGGTAGATAATAAACATGGACTCGCTACATCGGTCTAGTCGTATTACACTAGTCAAACATTCCGATGACCAAATCGCATCAAATTGATACTACGAATGTGCAAAGGGGTCAAGAGAAGTGTGCCGCAGCTAAAAATGATTATTGGTCAGGCAAAGCCTTTAGTCCATTCTCTAGTGCGATAAAAGGAGTTTATCGCGATTTAGTAGGTAAATGTTTCCATAAGCTGAACTATCGGATTCTTCGCGGCCAGCCTAACACCCAGGCCGATAGATGATAACATCAATCCGAAAGCCTTCGATGTTAACTTGAGTTCCAGTCGGCTAATTTGCTGTCTGGTAATAGCGGGAAATGAAGTTCCTAGTATGGCAGGCTATGGGAATACGCTTACGCGCGGCCCGATCGGAAGTGCCCTCATTTACAACTAACCTAAAAAATACTTCCTGCGCAATGGAGATAATGAATTCAAAAAAGAAAAGAAAATTTCCCACATATTTCAGCAATTTTCCTTCCTTACCTTTAGCGACTAATAGAGATCACTCACACCTCATATTAAAAGATCGTGTTTTAGGATAATGTCTACCGACACCCGTGCGACGATACAAACCTTGCCCAACTGCACGTCTTGTGTGGAGCAATTCACTCTGGTTTTCAAAAAGATTTATCTACTGATTCTGAGGATCCTACACATGTGAGTGACCGCCCGACAAATTCAAATCGCCCCAATCAGCGATACACTCGATTTCAGAGTAGAAGGCATAGGTTTGAACTGTTATGATACTTGTTTCCTTCACTGTACGATCAATCGGTTTTAACGAATCCGGACTGAAAGCCGATTCCACGAACACTCCTACCATCATTACTGAATCGGTCCTGTACTGGCGGTATTGGGTGTCAGAGAGGCATGTAGTCAGACCACTGTGTAGGAGCGAGTGCAAACAGTGAGGATGCAGATACCACTTTATCCTACCAGGGTAGGTTCCGTCAGGAGAGGCTGGCTTTTGTTTAGCCTAGTGTCTTGCTTTCAGCGTAAAACGCGACCGACTTATAAGAACTCTTGTTCTCTGTCCGGACCGACAACGTTGCTTTAATGCGCATCATGGTACATTACCTCGCAGAAGCCCAGCTGGTGCCGATCTTTCTGCTTACATTATCTGCTCAGGTAGATTTCAAGGTAAGCCATATCAAAGCTTAAGCGCCTTCATCACTGCCCAGCTCTTGGAGAGACCGAGAACAAGTGTATTTTCAGGATGCTCCGTCATCTCATTCTGTCCTGTCTCCTTACTACCTGCCGGAGATTTTCGTATATGCTCACCAGCCTACCGTTATTGGTCTATCAATCTCCACTTTAGAGCATAACCGAAGTTCTGTGAACAGCATCCCTTGACTTCATTTCTCATTCGACATAACAAGTGAGCGCACCGACTGGTACGTGTCCACGGAGGCTAGCTAAGTTACTGTCCAAGGCGTCTGACTCACCACTCCCAATTTATAGCTTCAGGCTATCATGAGTACTGTTCGTCATACTCTTACTTAGTGTGCGTGCAGTTAAACTGTTGTGTGCTGTAGAATATGTTTCCACTCCGCACAATTCGCTCAGATTGAACGTATGCCCAAAATTACTCTCAACTTCTGTTAGATCATTTAATGCATGTGTGCCATAGTCGCCGTTGAAATTCGATGTGCCACTTCCCAGATCTCATGTACATGTCTACGCAGTTCTCGTACCCCTGTGTGTAAAATTTGGCGGGGGGCACTCGTTCCGCCTTTAATCAATGTGAAATGCGTGATGTAGAATGTCTTCCAACCACTGTAACCCTTTGTTTACCTTTGAAGAACCATATCTATAGGACGCCCAGTTGAAGTTGGTGCCCAAGAGAAGCACCAGGATCGTTGCTATTTGATCTCTTCAGTTCGCTCATATGCTCTCCTAACGAGTATTAGGTCAAAGGAGTCATTTTCATCCGTACCGGGGCGGTTCACCATTTTTCTGAGCATTTCCGGGTGGATGGAGTGATATGCGATCAGCTCCGCAGTCGTTCATGAACAGTGACAGCTTGATTAGAGGGCAGGTCAACTGAGGCTTGAAATTTCTCGCTGTTGCGAGTGCCACTATCCTGATCCCTCCGAAGCAATGTTGTGGAACGCTGTCGAGCGAGCATGACAAACTGACCGTCTGCTGGCGACCACCGCCTGTCCACGAATCCAACAAGAACTTCCCCGTTGTTGACTACACCGTCTACTATAAAGAGATACCGAACTTCCCTCTCATGGGAGGCGATATGTGAGTTAGTCCTTGCACTTCGTTCAGCTCATGTTCAACAAATGATTTGAGTGGATTTACAGCGGCGTCCCACTTCTAAATGGCGACTACTCGGAGTTTGGAGACATCGACGATGACGTCGACTATGTGAATCCGGACGGCACCACTGAAAGGCCTACAGATCGAACTCGTAGGGAAGACAGGGTATGACAATTAATTCGGAATTCATGTCAGTTTTCGATTTATAAAAATACATGCCATAGTGTTTCTGTTTTAGGGAGTTCTGAACCTGCAACCACCTGAGGGACAACCGGGCATACCAGTAAGAACTTTCAAGCTCTTCGATTCCAATTTTTTAGGCATTTTCGAAATCGCTCCCTCATTTAATGTTTCTATGTGAGGTCAGCACTCTGAAGGCCTTTCCGCAGTGAAAAAAAGTTGTAAATAAGCCGGGAGTACATACACAACTTCTGAATGATTTGGGAAGGCCGAGACATTAAGGCCGCAGGATGCAGAAGAAGCAGAATTGGCCCCTTCCAACACAACTGAGCCTACCCGCAAACCAATTTGCTGAAAGCTTTGCCATATTTCTTTTGCGATTTGGTTTTTCTGGTCGATCCATAAGGCATAGCGATTTTGAGCTGAAATTCTTTTCTCTAAAGTATCATCGTTTTACACTAGGTGATAAGTCATTCGATAGCACATTTCCTGCCCTATTTGCGCATTTGCTTTATTTCATATTCATTGGAAATCAGGTCGAATTCTAGGCCTGCGCAATAAGGTGTTCAGTCCATGAAAATTGCAACATTCCTTTGAAATAAATTTTACCCGAGAAGATAAGAAAATCAAGCAGGCTTACATCCTTGACTCAGTCAGACTTGTTCTTAACATTCCACTAATCTTTCAATATCTCGGCTGTAAAAAACTTTTGAGCTAGATTTCAAGAAATGGTGCTTGACCGTCGAGTTCTGGTTGAAATACTAAGTATGGGAAAGGAGCAACGCGATTTGTTGGCAAGCCTAATAGCGGAATGTTCAGAGGAAGTTGTGACTAAGCTGATGCTCTATCATTGGCTGATTCCGCCTAGGGGGATGTAGAGTTAGGGCTATCGTTGCCCGTTCGGCTACTTTTCGTTGACTGGACTTCGCGTTTGCAGGCCTGAAATTTAAAAATCCTGCAACAAATGTGGAGGAAAACATAGCTGCTTGTAGAGCAAACAACTCTCTTTCGAACGGTGCATTGTGCAAGAGCTTTGGGAATTAGGAGAAATTTTTTTTGCTTGAAAAAAACGAACACTACTTAGGAGACAAGCTAATATTTTCGCCCTCGCTGGCAGCTTCTTCCGTTTTTTCGTCACTAACGTTACACTTCACATCTCCACTATCATTTTCAAGCGTATTAGAACATTGCTTTGATCCAGAAGTTTGGCGTTAAGGTGCAAATGGCACATTTCGGTTGGAGAACATTAACGTTACTCCTTCGGCTTATGTTGCCTTCCTAAATCCGCTATTACCTAGAACCTAGCTAAAGTTGTTTTTCACAATCGAAACGTGAACATAACTTCGTATAACACTGTTCCCCTTGCGGAAGTGGTATAGTGGCAAGTGGCACGCTTACCACATGAGCGGTCCGGGGATCAAACCCTGGGTCGTGAGTCGCCCGGGCCAACAAAGGCTTCCATCTCCGGGGTCGGTTGATTGGTACCAGACTTGTCTGGGAGGATAGAAACACTGACTTGTACATCGGCTGGCCCCCGCAAGTTATTGTATAGGCCACATCGCATTCGATCGCCACCACGAATACACAACACAAATGGAAGTGGAATGCGTACTGTATCCCAAAAAGGGATTGATCGACGGCAAATGCTTTATTCTTTTTTTTTATAATACTGTTCTCCTATGTAGTCCTTCCCTTTAATGGCTGAATGCTGCTCTGGAGCACTAATGCTTCTCTTTTCTCACAACCTTGACTCACTTCTTCTACAAGATTGTAGACCTAGATCTTTTCAGAAGACGCTGAGTGTGAGATTGAGGCGAAAGCGTGACACGGTGGTGGTGATGACAAGAGATGAAGCAACGAACTCCACTACTATTCGCGAATTCAACTTCCAAAGCGTAAGTGGTATTCCATCCCACCGTTTTCCGTGACGCTGCCTACTGCGCTTTGCCTGTTTGACGGTTTCGCTGGCCCTAGATACCACATATCAAGGTCAATGACCAAGGCGCAGTGAAATTAGCCGAACGGGCTAGCGTTGAGCGCCGTTGATCGTTCTGTTAGAAAAACTGTCCGCTCTGGTTTAGATAAACACGACAAACACTTGCCAAACCATCACTGATCTACGCTCTTCCACTCGATACATCGTCTATGTGACCTCACGGAACGAATACGGTACCAGTGTACCAAGTGTGCGTTCGATTGCCAGTACAAATGTGCACATGCTGAAGAACAACGACAGTATCCCTGATGTGATGAGTAAGCTTTCCGTAGCCTATAGTCACTCCTGTTAAAGGATGACCGTATTTGGACGATATCTATCAATGCTTCTACGCCTTGTCTGAGCGTCCTTCCGTATATGTTCTGAATACTCGTACACAATAGTGAGCGACCCTGGTCTCTGGCTTAGAATATCTGGAGATGGCAAAATGTTGAAGAGGTTTGCCAGCTCATTCCTTGGGAAGGCGCCACACAATGTGAACGCAGAGTCTCTGTTGGTCAATGCGAAGACTTGTTGGAAGTCATCAGAGTCGGCTAGTCAAATTCACTGCGCTAGTAAGTAGACTGAAAATGGCGGCCAATAATGGTGGATAAATGCCTCTTTTTTCTTCATGGTCTCATTATGGGCTAATGACGCCGAATCGGACTTGACCCACAAATTAATTTTTCTGAGGGACAAATACAGCAGCCGCTGATTTTCCAATCTCTCAAAAATTTCTCAAGCGTATCCTTCTCCTTTTAGACATAACTTGTGTTAGTCAGGTATAAGAATAGACAGCATAGGGCAGTGATCTTACGGGCTCTGAAGGTCGGAGTCTACGATGAAAATTGAGCCCATTAGAAATTACAGTAAAGGTGGTCAATGGAGCAGAAATGAAGAAATGCCAGTGGAACGACCCAGAGCACGATAAATGAAACATCTTCCCTCCTTGTTGATTTCCGCACTGATGCAATTCCGATCGGTGCTGCCCCCTTCACGCTGTCTTACTTATATGACTAGATAGGGTGGGCGTGCTGCGGCGATAGCGCGGGTATGGCCCTGCTCGGCCGCTGGGGCATACTCTTAGCTTCGGAACGCGCATCGTTCCGCGCCCTCATGGGGTCCATCTGCTTCTCGACTAGGTATATTTCCCTTTTGTCATGATCATGTCGCAGAATCATCCTTCAATTGTTTAATTACCCGTGAGGATTATTCCGCATGCCTCTCGGAAATTACTGGAATGTGGCTTTTTTTACAGAATGCTGCCAGGAAAACAAAGTGTCCGAATTCTGCAGTTCGAAGATGTGTGCTGTGGAGACGTCGCCGAACGCCTTTGCTACTGTCTCCATCGCCACCACTTGCCGAAGCGAATGGCCAAAGGTATCTTTCGTGATGGACATCAATGCATCAGAAGATCATTAAATGGACTACATGCGTATATATAACTATAAGTAAAAATATATACCATATGCCATCATTTTACATACTATATCCCGTGTAGGTCTCTCCATGCTTGGCTGATGGCCGTAATCACACCGAGTGTTGTCGCAGAAAGGGTGTTCAAAACGATTGCCTGCCGATTTGTGCTGGATCGACTGAGTCGCTGGGCGTTCACTCCGTGCTGTGTCTTAACCTTGATCTTCAAGCCATTTATCAGTGTCTTCGAGAGGGCTACGGTGCGTAGATTCAATAGTAGACTTCTTTTCTGGCTGCAACTCTTTATGTGTCATATTTACTATGGTGGAGCTTTCAGAGTCACATCCATCTCCTCCCGTCAACGTGTCGGTCACTTCTGTGAGCGAGTCCTCAGCTGAAATCACATGGGCTGAGCCAGATTCCAATGCGCACCTCGTCGAGACTTACACCTTGCTCATCCGTAAAGTTGAGCATGGCGCTAGAGTGAGAGAGGTTGGTGGTTATAGGACTTCGCATTTCAGGTGGTTGACTGCATTCGAATGTCCTTCAGTACCTATCTAGATGCATTACAGGTGCACAATGCAGTCTCTCCCCATACTGAAATTGGCCTGGATCCCGACAGCGAATATTCGGTATCAGTGAGATCGAACTCGCAACGAGGCATGTCATTGCCCTCCACCGCTGTTCTGTTCTACACGAAATCGGACAGTCGCGGAGTGTGCGCCATCGGGGAACCGTTGCTGATCTCAGGTACTTTTCAGTATCATTTTTTATCGCCCATCACATTCAATAGTTACCCACTTACTTACGTGCACATATGTAGCTGGCTCGGAAGTGAAACCTATTCTTTCCGCGTTATGTAGTTCTTTATAAACCAAATTCAATACTATTATTCAAATCGCTCTTGTTAGCAGAAAATCATGTGAAGTTCGAAATTGAGAGAATGGAATTACCTCCAAGGTCCTCATTTGAGAGAGGAAAGACTACATCCCTCACTCGTCTTGGAACTCCTCTTTTGAATCATTTCTAATCACTCGTTGGTTCAGAAGGACGGCCTTTCCTCTGCAGCTCCAGCCACCCGTGCCCGCTCGGCTTTCAGTGCACCGACGTCGAGGATGAGGCGTATTGTTGCCAGAAAGGTACCGAGCAGCTCTCAGTTTGATGATGTGATTTTCATCAGCTTCACTATATCACAAACATTTCAGAGGGCGGAAACTTGGACGTTGACTTCGAAGACTGCTGTCGCCACCAGAATGTAACACCTAACTGCCTCTCAGCGTGCCGCTTCAATACAACTCTCCCTGAGAACTGTCAACGTGAGAGCTTTCTTTGACTCTTTACCATTTACACAAAAATAATCAGAACTTGATGGTATCTATTAGTTCGTGATTGCTTTGTTGGTCTCCATGACAAGCGGGAGTATCCACTTGCTACTCCAAAAATGCCGGCTATGGTTCTGTGCTGTTCGTGGTCGCTATAAGTGTCTTAAGATTTGCAGGGGGGGGGGAGGGCGGTCGGTCCTATCGTTGCTACTTTTTTGGATTTTTTCTACGACCCCCCCTTCATGGGCGATTTGTTAGCGACCTCCTGCTAGCCAAGTGGTGATCAGAATACTCAAAACAATATAATCATATTCGAATTAAAACTTTTTTAGACAAAAATGCTGATTTCGGTTTAAATTTATAAAGACGAGTTTACCATTCCGAAAAACAGCGTAGCATGGTGTAGACATAATATTTATGATACGGACGGTCATGGCTGAGGCCTAAAGGGTTTGAGGGTGATTTTGACAGTTACGTTTTCTGTGGTGCGAGTCGCGCCCGGTGACGCAGTGGGGCGCGTTTTGTGAGAGGAACGGTCTGTCGAAAAGGGAAATCGAGAAGTAGAAGAATTTTTTCCTCGTGACATTCGGTTTCTCGGAAGGGTTTCTGGATTCACCGATGCTCACTTTTTCCTTTTCTTAATTAGAGCGGATTTGTTTTAAACAATCTGAATGGATTAATTTACTGAAACAAGAAAGGAATTTGCAGCTACAATTTCTTCCTTCTTTTTAGCCTAACCTTATTTCCCATATTCGAAGCTTTCGCGCCGGAGTTATTTGATTTAAAAAATTAAACTCATGTCTCTTCATAATGGCTGAAATTGGAGCGACGCTAATTATAGTAAAATTTGAGCACGGCGAATACTTTTATGGCAGAACGTGACGCCTTTCAACTTTAAATGACCAACTTCCTTCAAATTCATTTATTCTGGGAAGACGTGAACACGGTTTATGAGAAACTACAATATTCCAAGCTTCTAATAAGTACCCAAGGTATTGTTAAAAACGCGAGTAATTCAAAATTAGTCCCGTTGTCTTAGAAAAAAAAAAAAAAAAAAAAAAAAAAAAAAAAAGAAAAAAAAAATTTTTTGGGGGGTCGTGGAACTATTTTTCTGAAACCGCTGACTTTTAAGCTTTAAAACTATAACTCTTCAAACTCATTTATTTGGGAAGCTGAACCACGGTAGCGAGAAACTAGAGGATTCACGCTTTCTAAAATGTACCCAAAAGTTTCTTAAAAGTGAGGTAGTTCAAAAATTAGTCCGTTGCTACATTGTTTGAAGGGCATTTTCGCGGCCATTCTTTCAAGAAGGGGTTTTTTAGGTTCCACTGCCCGTAACCTTCAGGGAAAACGAGATCGTGCTGACGATAGGATGTGTCAGAATGCTTTGTGCATGTGCTTGCACTGGTATCCCCCTGTCTTGGTGTGCGCCACGCCTCGGTCGCACTCCTGATTCGCTGATTCATTTGGAAGGTCATTCGGAAGTAAGGGGTTTATAAACGCTCTAGCATCAATAATCTTGCGTAAACGTAATGTGCTGACTATTGTCCATGTTGTCTTAGGCAATACTCCAGCTACACTTTAGTTTCAAATGTGGTTACGTGCGTGGACCCATGTCATGGTGGGAGCACATTTTTGAACGATGCTAGCTGCTGCTTCTGCAAGTCTTCCTTTCTCATGCTCTTCCTGAAACATGGTTATGATCAGTAGGGAGATTACTACAAATCCCACTGCCGGCCACCGAGAGTACGACCCCCCCTCCGGGTCTATCCAAGTACGACCCCCCCGTTGCTACTTGTAGCAACATAGGGTTGACCCTGGGGGTGGTAGCATTTTTTAGGGCTTTGAGCACTCAGATTCAGGCATGGAAGTTAAGTGATGGGCGGAAAAATTCTTATCGATGCCACTTGAGTAGCGACAGATGCCGTTCAAACTGCTCGGAATGCAACTCCGAAATGAAAACTCGGGCCCCTAATAAGTTCCCTAAAGGAGTGTGGTTCTTTTAGCATATGTATACAATATATGATAGCAGCCTTTTACTTAGGTCATCCAGTTACCGACACATATAGGGGAGAAGGGTGAGGGCAGCAAAAAAGGTCACTCACCCCTATGATGCCCATCACCAATTTTTTCGTCGCGCCGTGTGTCGCCATTGATTCAACACAGCCTGACACTCCTCAGATGTCTTCCATAAGAAGAAGCAGGTTCTGCTCCACAGCCCCACCATCCTCAGAATATGCCTTTATGTAATCACAGTCGAGCCATAGAGCTCTACCGTAATCGCTCCGGCTAGAAAATGCTACACTATTCTTGAATCGGTCTAGCAATTGCTAGCGTCTAGAGACAGTAGCTCTTACTGTGCAGATCTCCTTTCAACCAGCGTTTCAAACAACGTCATAAAGGTTCACGATCCGTCATTGGCCTCGCTGAGCTCGAACTGTGCACCATGGCGAATCCTTCTGACATCTTTGGGGTAGACGGCTGCAACGAAGATTTCCAATGAATTCGAATGGGCTCTTCGATTTTGTTTATACCGTTCATTCTGAATTTAGCACTGTGTAGCTGATGCCGCTAGGGAGATCCCTTTTTATTGACCCTCCCCCTATATAATGCCCACCCCCTCAAAGCACTTCAGTTGCCGATGAGCTTTCATTGGCGCTGCATACTACCAACTGGTAGTGTCACGCAGAACAATCCAATGCCTCAAACTTCGAATTTCAGATGACATGAACAAGTGGGTGCAGTGCGCCTCCGAGGGTCGCGACCATTCACGATGTTGCGAGAAGGAAGACGTGCCGAAGGAGTGTCTCACAGGCTGCCGACATCCTTTCCAGGTTCGGTATCATTCACTTCCATTCTCCAAGTCAAGGTAGTTGCACCAAGCCCATGACTGCAAAAGTGTTGCAGGTCGCGGACGTATGCTTCCACTCCTTGTCAAAACTCTCCACTTGCTTCTCTGCTCCTCATGTGGGCATGCCGAGTGCGGTTCGACGACTAAAGATAACTGAGGTCACTCCGAATTCGGCTCTTCTCTCCTGGGAGGACGCAGATTATGGAGTCACAGGATATAAAGTCGAGGTATAGAACTGCTGTTCTTCTTTGATACTCTTACCGTATTATTGCTGGCGCTATACGAATTGTTCAGGTGTTTTCCAATAACGCGTTGGTGAGCTCGTCTGATGTCGCGACGGAAAGCTATCGCATTGAAAACCTCACCCCAGCCAGCGAATATAGTGCTCGAGTGACGTCAGTGAACAATCACGGCAGCAGTCCTCCTTCATTCAATGCCACATTTACCACTCTTCCTGCTAAGGGTTAGGTGTTTAACAGTTTCGTGCACGTGTCAGTTTTGAGATTTGTATTTAGTGCTGGACGGGGATCGCCCGAAGGCTCCCGATGGTCTCAGTGTGGTCTGGAACTACGGAAATCGGGTGAACATTTCTTGGAATCCAGTCACCTCTAGAATGGATGACAGTGCTGTCGGTGGCATTGTGGCTTACACTCTCTACTACGTGGAAGCGGAAAAAACCGGACAGTGGACAACGGTGAGGGAACATTACTCTCTTCAGCTCCTTCACAGCATTGTGGTCTAAATGCAGCAATTCATAATCCCGTTTCGGGTTACTTTGGTTGATGCCTTTCCGCTGATCGGAATGTTAGCTTGAAGTTGATCTAGACTGGCCCACACGCTTTGATAGATTATGCAAAGGCTTCCTAAAGGATGTTTGGGCAACGTGCTAGTAGCAATTAACTCACATTTATGTTTTCTAGGGCTTTCTATGGCGGCTTTTGAAAGTTGAATTCCTTAATACTTGCTCCTTTGTTGAAGCTGCTGGAACACTTCTTAATTAGTCGATTGACGGGCCATTTCTTCGTAGCTTCGAAGCTTCCCTAGACCACCCGATTTTCTCTTACGATGTCTTCATAACATTCTTTCTGAGTATTTGTTATTTTAGCTGCAAACGAACAACACCTGGGTGGTGATGAACGACTTGAAACGAGATGCTCTTTATTCACTTTATGTGATGGCCACCGAAAATGGCAAGACGAGTAGAAGCTCATCCGTCGTCACCGTACTTGCACAACCAGGTGAGTGCTTCATGGGGCAAATTCTCATTTCCTTTGCAAAACACTGAAGAACCGGTTATCTCATCTGTGTTGCAATTTTACGAACTGTTTGACGGTTAACAGAATCATAAGCACTAGAAAATAGGTATTTTTCGAAGTGGGAGGAAAGCAATCTGGGAAGACATTGGTCTGAGCAAAAGATTTCCGAGTTGAGCCCTAAAGAAATAGTGCCACTACCTGCCACTTGAGACTCATAAAGGCAAGCAACTTGGGCATTTTTCTCGATGGGCCTGGAAGGAATAGAGATTGTACGAGATTCTTGGCTGGAGGTAGAACCTCTACAAAAATCGTTCAGCGTAAAGAGACAGTCAGATGAGTGAAGTTGAAAAAAAAAGGACCTAGTGCTGATACCAGGTCTCTTTGTATGTTGCGAAACTTCTTTCTTGTTTCGTAGAGTAAAAATTCATTCCCGTTCCAGATCTCCTCGGATTACCCGAACTGTGGTGAAAATCACTCCGATCACCCCGATGGTATCTATTTGCAAAACGCAAAATCACCATCAACTGCTCAGAGCTGTATTCAGTCGACGTTGTGGAATTAGTCGGTGCCATTTTTTGTTAATATCGACTCTGCAAATGCCGGAACACATGCCGTAAGTGGCCCTTCTAAGTCATTTTTAATACTATGTAAACAACCACTCTTCAATGGTGGTGGCCATCTCAGGGATTTTATTTCATTTAATCTCAAGCCAAACAAGTCAGAGTGCCCCTTCTCTCAATCAGTTCAGCTTTATGCGCGGAGACATGAATTATTTTTAGTACCTCTTCAAGGGCGGATTGTCCCAGCGAAGTTGGCTTTTTAGATTGAAATGTACAGCTTTAGGGATCAACAGAAAGAAAAAGAATCAGCTTGAAACTCTCGGGAAACACGACGCGCCCTTTATGTTTCCCTTTGATTTCTGCGGGGTAGGCGAGTCTCAACTGTAATGATGCCAATCACGCGATGCTTCTCTTTGAAACGTTCGTATCAGACAGCGGGCGATCAAGCTAATCGGTGGCCGGTGTGGCGGGGCACGAGCATTGCCAGAGGGCTTGCCACGCTGGCGTCGGCAGCCTACACATTGCTGGTGAAAATGCGCAATCGTCCGCGCCCTTAGCGGGAACCTGCCTTTCCTTTGCCGCGGAGGCGGCATTACAAGTCTATTGAGAAAATCCTTGCAAACTGAAGGAAGGTGGGGTGCTCTTTACAAAGGGCACCCTATTTGTGTCTGAGACTGTAATCCTTGACATGGGTTGTGTTTAATAATACTGGGTTTACGAGAGGAATGACACAGAGACTAGAGGTCCGATTTCGGAGACGCTTGATCAGTAGAACAAATGCAGGCAAGCAACGACCATTGCTAGGGTCTCGTGGTGGCAGAAGAGGTTGAAGACTGATTCGTCAATTGACACAGTCACTTGTGCCGTTCACAGCACACGGACGGTCGTCAGAATGTTCGCCATGAGACACCTGTTGTGAAGTGCTAAGTTTTTTTTAATAAAGCGACCATGGAATCCTGTTTTCCTCGGAGTACAGTTTTTCTCGGTTCAGTCGGTCCAGTCGCCAAGATGGGACAAAGAGAAGGTGGCGCGCCTCTCGACGATCAATCAGCCGATATCAGCCCTGTACTGTGAAGGGTTGTTGGATGAGCCAATTTGTTTCCACAGTTGAGAGAGTTTACGAGCCACTCATTTAGGCTTCCATCTCCGGCAATTCGTTTGTGAAAATCGACGGCAGAGCGGCTGGCGTGGGAAATTTGGTTACAGAGACGAAGGGTCAAGCGTTGATGCTCTATTGATTGTTACGTCACAGGGCCACACTACAGATGAGTGCGGTCTTTCTTGTGTAATAATAATACTGACATAAAGTTAATAGTAAGTATTCATTTCAGCTCCGAAATACGAAGGGTAAAGCGGGCGTGTATTCGTGGAATAGCTGAGAAGGACGGCAGCACTCGGTGACACTGCTGAGGCTTACGTTAACTGGTGATGTTCATCTCCTCCCTTCGTCTTTTCCTTGATTTACTACTTTCCTTCACCCTTTCCTTCTTTTCGGTTTTGTATTTTATCGCGGTATCAAAGTGAACGTTTTCCTCGCATGTTTTTAGCGGTGTAGTTCTCTGGCGAGTTGCTTCCTAGTTAATCCAGACTCATGGCCTGTCATGGTTGCCGAGACGATTTAGCACGATCGAAGGCGTGCGATTGTCTTCAGGCTTGCACGATAGGAAAGGTGTGTTGAGCACTATCAGTCACTTCGGTGGCTTACTAGCAATAAGATCATATCATTTAAGACCCCACCCTCCGTGGGCAACTGTTCACAGTACGCTGCGAGTTTGCTGAAATGCGCAACTGACTTCGTCGATCACAGCGATTGCTGCACTCTGCAGGGAGTCTCCAGCAAATGCCTTCCGCTATGTTCCGGTAAGATTTCGCTAGTGGTTCTCAATGCATTCCCAAGTGACGAAAAAGCGCGTTTTCGCGTTTCTGCTCAAAAACCGCTCATCCTTTGCAAAAGTGAGCATGAGACTGATGTGTAACATATTTGCAGGCGATTCTTTCTCAACTGATGTTGACTGCACTCCGTACGCGGTCACGATCATGGAATGTTTTGTACGAGGGCACGAAGGCAGTCCGCAACCTGTACGAAATGTCGAGTATGAAGTTATCGGAAGAGGCTTGCTGAGGGTGAGACCGTCATCTTCTTTTGCATTCGCTTCAACCTTTCCGGCCCGAGATCTGCCTCTTTTCGGACCATGACCTGAAAATGACCACATTTTTACAGGTGAAATGGGATGATACTGATGCTGGTGACACGTACCGTTACTACGCAGTTTACTACAAGAAGAGAGATGAAGAAGGCGAATACAAGGTATGCTGAGGGAAACGTCACAAATAAACAGTAGCGGTCAAAAGTGTTCGCCCAAACGGTTTTCCGTACCTCTCTTTTATTTTGCCAGAAAAAATCACCGGTGGAAAAATTTTTCTTCTAATTATCCTATTCTCCTGATTCTATAAGTCTTGAGGATAAAAACCTTAGGGAATATAGTGCATATATCAGTCTTTGGAGGGGTGTTGCTCTAACGAGAAAAAAAATAATGCACTAAAATCGTTTCGGCGATTACTTTTGGCCGCTACTGTGTGCATATATCCGATACAAATATGGTCCTATCACTAATGCTGTTACAGATGGAAAAACTCACCACACGCTCCGTGGAGCTGAACATCGAGCCGGACACCGCGTACGACATCGGGATCATTTCTGCCAATGCCTTTGGCCATAGTCCATTGGTCTTCCTAGACGTACCGTCCACGAGCGTTGGTGAGTGTTCGGCTTCTAATTATCGAAAAAAAACGCTGAAATCAAACTTTTCAGGAAAATCAAAATCATCCTCGTCAGGCGGTTCATCAGCATTCTTTATCCTCTTACTCCTTCTTTGCTGCGGATTTGTCATTATCGGTGAGCGTAACCTAAGTTAGACATTCTGGGTCTAGATTCCTTGAGAGGTGCCTTTCAGGAATCATCTATCTGGGTAGAAGGCGAGACCTACCAGCACCATTTGGAAAACTGATCCGACGACAGCCACCACCACGAGGACATCCAACGGTTGCCTTCGAGAACCCTGCCTACGGTAGAGATTTGAATTTTATGGATTCCTTACAGCTCACGGCTTGCCATATTTGCGCGCAGCTGTGATTACAGGAAGCTATTTTGCTATAAGGTTCACGAGCTTTGGTGGACTGTCAGGGCCACTTATGTTATGTTTATTACGTTGCTAAGGCAAACGCAGTAAAAAACAAAAATAACAAACCAGTAAAAACAAAAATAACAACCCATTCACAAACAGCACAAAAACGAACACCCTCGAGTGACTAAATGAAATCCATAAAAACTGAGAACATCAAGGGAAAAAAAATAGACAGAAATATGGATCAGGAACGTAGGCATGGAAGGGAAGCGTTAATCTCAAAGAACTACAAAATTTCATATGCAGATAACACTGCAGCGACCTTACGCTTAAATCCATCCAGGGAACCAGGAATAGCCATGTTTTTAGTTACCTTTTTGTAAAGGCTGCCGGCCCTGAATGTGAAACTTTTGGCTCTTATGCTGGTTCTGGGCCCAGATAAAATTATTTTTGTACGACCCCCTCTGGTTCGAGAATGTGCCATTTTATAAATATCAAAAGAACCAAACTCATCACGCTGATATAGAAGCTTGTAAACCATGCATACATCAAATACTCTGCGACGTGATTCAAGTGTAGAGAGTTCCAGGTATTTATTACGGATGGACGCTTTTGGAATCCTAGAATGCAAGAAAGACTTACTCCGAAACAGAATTTTTCGCATGAAATTGTTTTGTATCTTCTCGAGTGCCTCAACATCCTTTCTCTTGGTGGGGTAGAACACAGCAGCGCCTGTCTCCACCACGGGACGAACGTAAGTTTTATAAGCTTTGAGAAGGATAGCCTTATTTGTAGATGATAGACCCTTGAAAATATGCGACGTGCGCAATAGAGCTAGTTTACACCGAATTTGAATGTGCTTGGAGAAGTCAGTATTTGGGTAGTGGAAGCCCAGATCTCTTACACAGTTGAAAGTGCAATGGAACCCGTTAACAATATAAGGATAGGAGGTACTCCGGATTGTGGCGATCGTCATGAACTATTTTGTGTGTGGAGCCAAGGGTAGTTGCCATCGCTTTGCCCAGTCACTCAACAAAGTAATAGCCGATTGTAACCGCTCTTATCTTTAGGTTCAGTGATGGCTTTATAGATTTTACCATCATCAGCATACATTTTAGTTGTAACGCTCAACCAGCGAACAAACCTAGGTATCTCAGCTGTGTAAATACTGAAAAGTACCGGTGAGAGAAACCCCTTGCGGTACTCCGCTCACCACTTCCCTCCTGTCAGAGTAAGCTTGGCCTACACGGACCTGGAGGTACGACAGAAAGGAAATTGAGATCATTTAACGAGAACTGATGAAATCGCAACACCTCTAGCTTATGAAGCAACTTTTTGTGGACACTCTGTCGAAAAGCTTTAGCAAGTCAAAATTATTACGTCACAGCTGTGCTTGTTGTCAATCGCTATGGTCCAATCTTCAAGACTTTCGATCATATTCGTTTCACCGAGGCGCCTGGGATGAACCATGCTGTTCTCGAGGATGATGCCGTCTTCTCAAATAGTCTGCAAAACAGAGACGTTATACTGACAGGTCGATAATTCGCAGGGTCCGATGCAGGCTCCTTCTTGAGAACAGGAGTGACAAAAGAGTGTTTCCAGCGATCAGGTACTTCACCACTCATCAAGGATTGGTTGAAAATGTACGCAAGTGGTCCGCAGATAACACCAGCCACCTTTTGGATGAAAGTAAGCGGAACGAAATCGGGAGTGACTGAGGAGGACTTAGGCCAATTCATAATCCGCTCATAAAGTTGTTCGGCATAAAACCATGGCAGCTCCTCCATAGATGATGGTAGTGACGACGAAAAATAAGGGATTCTCGCATCGTCATTAGAAAAAGAATTCGCAAAATGACCAGCAAGCATGTTAGCTTTGTCTTGCGCATTACATGCTATACGGTCTCCACACTTCAAAAACCCAATGCATCGTCTATCCCGTATTTTACTATTTAGGTACCTATAAAAATTTCCACTACGGCCAGACTCCACAATTCTCTTTTCCACATTGCTGAAAAACTTTCTGAGACGAGCAAAGAACAATTTTGTAAACTCCTTGTATTTGGACCAGTCCCCAGTTCGTCTTGCTTCATAAAAAAGACACTCTCGATGTTCACTCATGCTCCTTAAATTCCGTGGTAGGGTGATGGACTTGAAAGAAGTCACTCGTTCCCAAGGAACATAGTAGTCAATGGCTGCGTGTAACACGGACAGTAAGAGCTCATACTTCTCGTTGACACTCCCGCATCTTTCCAGAAGATCGACCCAGTGAATGCGAGACAGATCCCGACGTAGAGCATTAAAGTTACATGCAGAGTATACTCGCCGATAAGTAGGCACAGCACAGCATTCATACCCAGCGACTTCAAAGACAATGCTGCTATGATCACTATACCCAACAGGAGAAAGGATTCTTAGGTTTCTGACCATACCCAGCTTGCTACAGAAAACCAGATCCAGGATATTGCCTAACCTAGTCGGTACATTGACATGCTGAGTTAGGTTGTGACTATGAATTAACTCGTGAAAAGACGATAGGGTTGAACGTTCCGAGTCAGAAGTAAGCCTTACATCCATATCGTACAACCCTGGCATGTTAAAGTCACCTACGATCACGGTAGGAAGTTCACAAGCAATGAGATCGCTGAGGACTTTGATCAATTGATTAGTTTTCATGACTATAGAGGATGGCGCCCTGTACACTACAATAATCCTTAAACCAGAACTCTCATTGAAAACATCAGCGCAAAGTATTTCATATGCATCGTCCACAGACTCCTTGAAAACTAGTGCCATAGAAAGTCTGGAGTGAACAAGTAACAATACCCCACCTCCAGATTTTCTTGTGCGATCACATCTTTGAATATCATAATCAGCAATCAAATTACCCAGAATTGGAGGGATAATATGGCTAGGTTTGAGCCAGGTTTCACTGAAAGCGTAGATATCAAACTTATTAGACAAAACTGTCTCAACGTAAATCGAGTTCCTTGAGATTGACCTCACATTGGAATAAAAGAAATTGAGACTACTTAACATAATCCGCGGAGGAGACATCAGTTTTCCTGAGCGGTAGGAGATGTACTTGGAGTTCCAGGAGTTTCCACATTAGCCTCGCCTGAGCAATGATCACTCAGAGTAGGAGAATGGGACACTCCCTCTTTACTCCCATGACGGAGCGCTCGCCTTCGCTCACGTTCCTCCTTTGTTAGGGACTCCCTGAGGAAAATCCCCCGATGAGGAAAGTAGCGAAGGCGAGGCGCTCTCCTCAAAACCATACGCTGAAAAAATCGCGAGGGAAGAATAACTTTCAACAATCTACACCTATTTTGTGATATTTTACCCATCCTGTATACCGTGATGGGGTTACATTCGACTCCGAGAAAATCAAATATATTACAGACACGATGAAAATCCTCAGACAACTTGACACTCAGATTCGTAGAGACAGACTCAGGGATTCCACTTATCACAATAGAACGCATTCTTTCTATTTCATGATACGGTAAAACTTGTTCAGGACTTGAGCTAACATTTAAAACACTTTGATGAGGTGAAGAAACCATTTGAGATTTTTCATCAATAGTATCCTCAGATTTCCTATTACGCAAATCCTTAATCTCATTTTTCAGCACAGCATTTTCAGAACGCAGGAAACTTAACTCAGACATCATCGCACATATAACTTGTCTACGGACATAAAAATCGGCACATATAACTGGTTTAACGGAATCTGCGACCGCGCTTAGAATTGAGTAATTTCCTTGTACATTTTGCTCTGATAAGCATCCCCAGCATGATGCATTTCTCTCCTCTTGTCAGCGCTAACTACGGGGGGAACACGCCATTCCAGACAGTCTATTGAAAACAAAGTAACGACGAAATCGTGTAGGGGACAAATACTTTCTAGATAGTGAGCAAACATCAAAGAAATGCGCGGCTTTAGCAGTAAAAGTGTGCAATCTACCTGGTGCTAGCAGGATTGGGCAAGATGTCTTCTGCAGCATGCTCAGTTGCACCTCTTGAGCGAGCAATACACGGATCACAGCAGACCTTTAGCAGAGTATCCAGCTGTAGTAGCTCTTCCAACTTGGACCGGTGTTGGAGCCGAAGAACCGTAGCCAACCTTCTACAGCGATCATAGGGCCTTGAAACCTTCACCACCGATATTCGATGAAATAACAGCGAGAGACCGATCAATGGCAGAATCTCGAAAAAACTTGACTGAAGGAAGACGACTGGGTTTACCCTGTACTGGTGGAGACTTTTTCCAAGACTTTACTCAGCTGCCACCCGAGACAGCAAACAGTATAAGCGACGACCTGTCTCGATTGAATGACAGCAGGTTTTAAGACCAGAAATACCGTCAGGAGGAATCAGCGTTTGTACAGAGCCAGCTGGAGACCGCCACTCAGGGACGGGGTGCGACTTTAGATCGAACCTATTTCTGCTGTATGACGGTGCATCTTATCACATCGCATAACAGCCTCAGCTTTCTCCATTTTCTGCTTATTCACGACAGTTTCGCACATCCGCCTCTGGGTTGTGCTTCCAACACAAGCGGAAACTTTAAGTGGCACTGCTACACGTAACTATTCCTTCTCTTCCTGTTTATTCGCTTAGCATTCAATTATGCCGTGGCATACAATGAGGTAAACTGTATTGACTGGGTAGGCGACTTTTCTGAAATCCTTGACGGCACTTCTTATGAAACACGGGGCCATAAACCGACGAAGAAGATAACAGGTCGAAGAATCATGAGATCATGAGATGAGTTCACCTGAAGCCCTCTTCGGAGTGCTGATCTCAAATTACCCTTTGTATCGACAGTCAGCTATGTCTTGCTTTACTTCAATCGAGCAGGGAACGTACGGTGGCCTCAAAATCCGACGAAAGAGTGACTAGGTGTGTGTATGTCGAGGTGTGAGGGGGCGGGGGGTGGTGGGTGAGACGAGCCGAAGAGGTGGGTTGGAAGATGAGAAAAGCTCACCGGCGAGCGCACGCTCTCA